CCTCCTGCCTCTGCCTTCCAAGTGCTGGGGTTAACAGGCATGTACCACCATGCCCAACTCTTAACTTGTGACTTTTTTTTGGAAGCACTGGAGTTTGAACTCAGGACTTTACTCTTGCTAGGCAGGTGCTCTTACTTCTTGAGATAGGGTCTCCAGACTATTTGCCTGGGGCTGGCTTCAAACCACAATCCTCCTGATCTCTGCCTCCTGAGTAACTAGGATTACAGGCATGAGCCACTGGTGCCCGGCTTGTGATTGTTTATACATTCAGAATACTCACGTTTGTGCAGATCTTCGTTAAAGTTTTGTGTTCTTTTTCTTAAAGGGGACCCCTCAAATTGTCCCAGTACTGCCAAAAAATAAAGATCTATATTTTTAAATAAATAGAAAGAATATGATTATTTACTTTGCAGCTTTAGCATTTCAGTACATTTTGGGAATTTTGTCTTACATTGTACTGTGAAGGAGCATGATATTCTTGTTTGTTCTGCCAATGTTAAGACCATAGACTTTAAAGGGATTAAACTGAAGTTTAATTTAATCACCCCAGCAGTCTGTTCAAAGGAAAAATAAAATGGGCAGATAAGTGAAGATCTTTTCTGTGGGATTGTTTGGCCTTTTTGATGTGGAAATGTAAAAACAAATTTAATTAACTGTGAGTACTGAATGACTCCAAAGGTTAATGCCTTATTAACAGATTAGTTTGTCCCTAAAACCTACACTGCTAACTTTTTGAGTGCTTTTCTCCTTCACTCAGATAAACCCTGCAGTCCATTTTATTTATATAGACTGGCATTTAAAAGATGACCAGCTAGGTGCTGGTAGTTACCCAGTTCCTCCTGGGGACCAATAAATACATTCCTTGCTCCCCTTAAGATTAACTAGAGTTTTTTATTATTAAAAAAGTCACAGACAAATAGATTAAAATCTTCCTTCCAAAAGAAACCAGTTGTCTTATACATATGTATCCTTCCAGAAATACTATGGATGTAAAAGTACATGTATATATGTAATATCTACTCGATGTGTATGTATTATCTTTATAAAAATGGAAGCATACTCTGCACCTTGCTTTTTATACATGGAAAGAGCATGGTCTTTGGAATTACACACATGTGCATTTGAATCATAGCTCTTTCATTTTCTTACATGGGTTCCTGGACAATTTATTTGGTTTCCTATAGGGAATGGGATCACCTCTGCCTTAGTTGTTCATCCATAAACTGGGTGGCCTGTATGCAACAGAAACCTGTTCTTTATAATTCTGGAGGCTGGGAAGTGTAAAATCCAGGTACTGGCAAATTTGGTGTCTGGTGAGGGTAACTTCTTGGATCATAGATGGTGTTTTCTCACTGTGTCCTCCTCACATTGTGGATCCGTCTATGGGAACTTTCTGGGGCTTGTGTATAAGGGCACTGATCCTAATCATGAGGATTCTGCTTTCATGAGCTAATCATTTCCCAGCAGCCCCTCCTAGAGGTTAGGGTTTCAACATAGGAATTTTGTGGGGACACATTCAGAGTCTTGGTACCTTTCATTATCAAATAGGAAAGAATTCAAAAGAGAAAAATATACCAATGACAACCCAAGTAGTGATATTAAAACAGTTTTTAGCTTTTGTAGAACATTAGAGCTAAAAAGGATTATTTTGTCCTGTCTCAGGCAACAGAGGCCTCACCTCAGAGGTAGGGTTGATTTGTCCAGGGTTCTAGCTTTCAGATCGCCTGAGAATAGAAGATACAGACTTTGTATATTCATGCAAATTATTCAGAAGTCATGTGTGGAGAGGTATGTGGCGTCTGAATTTCATGTTGGACATTTCAGGAGACATAGAACACCATAAGTGCTGAAAGGACGGGTCCTTACAATTCCTGTGGACTGTCCGCACTCTCTCCCCATTATGAAGTTAAGGCCACAGAGAGGTTTGATTCCTTTCTTTTCTCCCACTACTGCCTTCAGCTAAATACAGGGACTAGGCCTCCATCTTCAGTGTTTCCTCTGTTCCTAATTTGTAGGCTGTTATGTTTATTTTCAGAGGAACTATTAACATAATGGAAAAATAGTTTCTCTGAAAATAAAAATAACAAAATTGGTTCCTAATGAAAGATTCTGAGAAGAAGACAAACTGCTGGACTTTGGACCAATGTGGGGACCTGGAGGAGGTGGTTTTGGGAGGAGGGGAGCATGCAAAAGGAGCAGCACACATCCAGAGTCAGACTGCCGCCAGCAATTCCAGCTCTGCAGTCTGTGCCTGGTTTTGCTCCTGTTGTGCCCCTAGCAACTAGCACAGTATGAGGCACATAATGGGCACCCAATAAATATTTGCTGAATAAATAAATGCCATTTGAACTTCCTACCCAAAGATTTGGCATCCAGAACTGTATTATGATAATTACAGGCTACTATGTGAATTTCTTCTTAAAATAAAATAAGGGGCTATTTAATTTTGTTTCCTTTGAAACCTTAGGTTTGTAAAGTCTCTTTGATATTAACATTCAGAGGAAAAGTTGAGTGCTATTACCCCAAAGGGGAACATTTTTGTTTGTGCCAAGTGTGGTCAACCAGGTTCAAAACACAAGTAGAGGGGAGGTGGGAGGGAGTTTAAAAAGAGTAATAGAGGGATGGAATGTGATCAAAGTACATTATATGCATGTTTGGAAATATCACATTGAAACCACTTTGCACAATTCATATATGCTAAACACACACACACACAAATTGAAGCTACTAAATAAGGAAGTCTTTTCCCCATATGCAGCATGAATAGCATGGGGGCAATATGGCTTCTCCGTAACTTTTTAATTTTTATGTAGTCCAGGCTGCCTAGAACTCATTGTGTAGCCCAAATTGGCCTTGAACTTTTGATCCTTCTTCTGCAACTTCCCCAAGTGCTGGTGTTACTGGAACCTGCGACACTCTGGGGAGGAGGTCTCCAAAAGGGAGGAGGCCTCCACTGGGCCTTTATACGAAGTTCATGGTGTTGCAAAAAAGATTTTTAGGACACATCAAGGTAGAGACCAAGAAAATTTATTAGTAAGCAAGGCAAAGGAAAGATAGAAACAGAGTACACAGCCCAGATATGGGTGCGTGTACATCTGATATCAGATGCAGTGAGTGCTCTAGCATCAGGGGTATTTATGGTGAAAAAGTAAGTTGGGGTTTGGCTTGAGTTTACCTTAGGAAGAATGCTCTTCTTTGTTCTGAGACCTGGTATATTTTGTCATTTTTTTGTGTTATACTGTTTTATTAATTGGAGCCTTCAAAGGACGCTCCCTTTAAGATAGGTGTCATCTTTGTAAATACTTCTTGTGCCCAGAGGAGTCATTTTCCCAGGATATCTTTAAGATATCCTTGCTCTGTTCTCAGAGCACACTAATTAGTTTTGGGCAAGTGGTCAAGTTCACAGGGAGAGAGCTGCTCTGTAAATGTTGCAGCTTGTCTCAGCAGTGTGAGGCTTAAAACAAAAAAAGCGGAGTCTATATGTTTTAATCGAGCTATTCATTATTACAATACTTATATGTAAATTCCTGGCTGCTGTTTCCCATGCCTCAATTTCTCTGATCTATCCTGCCTCACTGGGATTGTAGGTGTATACCACCACATCTGACTGGCTTTTTTTTTTTGTATAGTATTTTATATGTAGTTTCCTGGGCCAGAGGCATGGCTCAACTGGTAGAGTGCTTGTCTAGCAAGCACAAAGCCCTGAGTTCAAACTCCAGAACCACCACCACCAAAAAAAGCTACTATATGTAGTTTCCTTATGTCTTTTGCTTATTTGTTTTTGCTTTTGAGATGGAGTCTTACTATGTTGCTGAGGCTAGGCTCAAACTTGTGATCTTCCTGCCTCAGCCTCCCCAAGTGCTGGGATTATAGGAATGTACCACCATGCTTAGCTTTATTCTGCAGCTTTTTTTCCATGGAAAATGTTATATGGTGTAATCTAAAGCTCATATAAATTATTTTCCTACTTGTTCTGATTTGGATCATTTATGCTAGTGATTTCTTCCATAATTAAGAACAACCTAAGCAACTATAATTATCCAAGTGTTAGAAACTTTCTATGGTATGGGCCTATTTCAGATTTTCATCAAGTACATAGTCATCAATTACTAAGATGAAACAAAAATAAAGTTCATTAACATAAGTGAAAAATTTAATATAATTACTATAGATTGTAAAATGAGATTTCCCACTCTGAATTACTTTTAGTTTTATTTTGAGTTATTTTCATTGCATGGAGCAAAGCTTTCCACTAATAATTAATAATAATAATGCCAATATTTTAACTGCCTTTTGACATTAATATCCTGCTATCTCAAAATCAGTAGGTCTAGCACTAACTTGATCCCCTATCTTTTTGCTCTACTACTAATTTCCTCTTGTTTTCCTCCTCTCTGATATCCCTTAAAGGCTCCACCATCTGTCCACTGGCCCAAGCCAGAAATTGATAAGTCATCCTAGTCAAGTTCCGTACCATCTGTCTTATTAGTGGACCTTGCCTTACTAACTGTGTTAACTGCCTCTTTTGTTTTTATTGCTAGTGTTCATGCTTTAATTCAGACCCTGTATTGCACCATCGTTGCAATTGTAATAGCCTTATAGTGGATCTCTCTGCCTCCTGTATTGTTCCACTCCACCCCATCATCCTTCATAATGTCCCCGGAATAATTCTTTTCTAAAATGCAAGTTTAATCATGTCATTCCTCTGCTCAACTTTTCCATGGCTACAAACCATATTGGCATACAAGACTCCATAATGTAGCAGTAGTCAGGGGCTGGCAGAGTGGCTCAAGTGGTAGAGCATCTGCCTAGCAAGTGCAAGGCCCTGAGTTCAAACCCAAGTACTGCCAAAAAAAAAGAAAGAAAATAATGATGAAAACAAATAGAGTTCATTAGATTGAGTGATTTATTTTATTTTTCTTGAATGTGGTACAATGATATTCTTAGCGTCTGTGTCATATAGTTTAATTAAGCTCACTTCTGAAATTTCCTTCCAAAAGGTTTCACTAGAAGAAAAAAATGCAACTATTATTTATGACCCCAAACTTCAGACTCCAAAGACCCTACAAGAAGCTATTGATGACATGGGTTTTGATGCTGTTCTTCATAGTCCTAACCCTCTCCCTGTTTTAACCAATACTGTGTTTCTGACTGTTACTGCTCCACTGGCTCCACCATGGGATCATATCCAAAGCACATTGCTCAAGACCAAGGGCGTGACAGATGTTAAAATTTCTCCTCAGCAAAGAACTGCAGTAGTAACAATAATCCCTTCTATAGTGAATGCCAGTCAGATAATGGAGGTGGTTCCGGACCTCAGTTTAGACATTGGAACTGAGGAGAAAAAGTCAGGAACTTGTGAGGACCACAGTATGGCTCAAGCAGGTGAAGTCATGCTGAAGATGAAAGTGGAAGGGATGACCTGCCATTCATGCACTAGCACCATTGAAGGGAAAATTGGGAAGCTGCAAGGTGTTCAGCGTATTAAAGGTAATTTATCTGGTGGTTTTTGATTGTTTTGTAAAGCTTAATTTTCTGTTTTGATCTTTTAAATTTTTCCTTTCTTCCCAGGAATGGGTTTTGAATCTGTGGGACTAGAAGGCTACTGCTTCATTGAAATGTGAGGCATAGCATATTCCCAGGATTAATGTCAGTAAAGTTAATGATTGTAATTACAGGTTATGAGAGTCTTGAATTTTAGTTTAGCAGAAAAGGCAACTGGGATAGCGATTCATGGGAGTTCAGACTTCTTAACACAACATGCCTGGGGTACTCTTTACCCCTAATATATTTCTATTCAGACACCCAGCAACTTGGAAATTGTAGCAACAGTGGTCATGTCTTTTACTTGTCTCCAATCTGTGTCAGTCACATTTTCTGAAAATAACTTTATTTTCAGAAAAAGTGATTAAGAAAGAGAAACAATTAGTAGTTTTAAAATGGCCCAGGAATAATGAAATGAAATAATGATGTGTCTTTTTTATTAACTAGTCTCTCTGGACAACCAAGAAGCTACTATTGTTTATCAACCTCATCTTATCACGGTAGAAGAAATAAGGAAGCAGATTGACGCTGTGGGCTTTCCAGCATTCATCAAGAAACAGCCCAAATACCTCAGACTGGGAGCTATTGATGTAGAGCGTCTAAAGAATACACCTGTCAAATCTCCAGAAGGGTCCCAGCAAAGGAGTCCTTCATACACCAGTGATTCCACAGCCACTTTCATCATAGATGGCATGCATTGTAAATCGTGTGTGTCAAACATTGAAAGTGCTTTATCTACACTCCAGTATGTAAGCAGCGTAGTAGTTTCTTTAGAGAATAAGTCTGTCATTGTAAAGTACAGTGCCAGCTCAGTCACTCCAGAAACACTAAGGAAAGCAATAGAGGCCGTTTCACCAGGGCAATATACAGTTAGCATTGCAAGTGAAGTAAAGAGTACTTCCAACTCTCCCTCTAGCATGTCTCTTCAAAAGATGCCCTTGAATGTAGTTAGCCAGCCTCTGACTCAAGAAACCATGATAAACATTGATGGCATGACTTGTAATTCTTGTGTGCAGTCTATTGAGGGTGTCATATCAAAAAAGCCAGGTGTCAAATCCATACACGTCTCCCTTGCAAATAGCAATGGGACTATTGAGTATGATCCTCTACTAACCTCTCCAGAAACCTTGAGAGAAGCAATAGAAGACATGGGATTTGATGCTACCTTGTCAGGTAATTACAACTTTTTCCTTGATTCTCTTAAGTGTTCTTTTATTTCCATTTTGTTGTTTCATTCAGCTTTTGGCAATGAGAAATGATTCATAGGCACTGAAATTCCATTTTTTCACAAATTAGTCCTGTGGAGGTAGTCAGCAGTGCATAGAAGGATGCTTAAGGATGTTTGTGTAATTATTTATAGTATTTAAAAGCTGCAAACAATAAATCGTGGTGCAACCATAGTATGAAATGCCACGACGCCATAAAAATTACGATACTGAAGACAATACCATAGTAAAACTATCTGAGATGTTTTGTTAAATGAAAAAAAAATGAAATGTTACATATACACTGATGAAAAATTTATAAACAAATGTATATAAATTTATGCCACGGATATGTTATTTATGTATACTGATGAATAAGAAGATTCCTGGTAGGGCATGAACCAAAATTTTAACAGTGGTTATCTTTGGGTGGTAGAATAAAGGTAATTCTTGTGTTTCTATTGTGCTTTCCTGTGTGTTATAAGTTTTTTGCAACATGGTTGTATGTATGTATGTATGCATGTATTTATGTAGTAGGGGAAATAATGCTATTTTTTTGTGGTTCTGTGGTTTGAACTTAGGGCTTCACACTTGCTAGGCAGGCACTCTACCACTTGAGCCACTCTGCCAGTCCAACAGATGCTATTTTGAAAAGAAAAAAGGTAGAAATAAATAAAATAATAGTATTTTAACTGTGATACCTGTCTGAAAGTCTTCATGCTTCCTGATAGCTCTTACTTTTGAACTGAAGCCAAAAATGTCTATCTGGTGGAATTTGCCCATGTGAACTAGTTGTTTTGAATCAGAATTGAACCTGGCCTTGAGTTAAATAAAATTGCCTTGCTAGGCATGGTTGCACATGTCTATAATCCCAGCATTTGGGAGGCAGAGTCAGGAGGATTATGAGTCAAGACCAACCTGGGCTATATAGTGTAATCTTTGCTATTCTGATTAGAATAAAGGATTTCAAATAGTAATATTCTCCTTTTAAGTTCACAAAAATTAGATAAAGATTTTGTTAAACACATCCCTAGACAATTACTATAGACAAATGTCAATGGGAAAGGACCCAGAGCCATACCAAACATTCTTAATTTTCATATTGATGACAAGTGGTAGAAATTATATTATTCTCACCATTTGAGGTTGACATATACACCTTGAACATCCTAATCTGAAAATCCAAAATCTGGACCTTTGTGACTGCCAACATGATGCAACAAGTAGAGAGTTCCATACCTGACCTCATGTGATGGGTCCTAGTCAAAATACAGGCATACCAAAAATGTTGTATGACATTACCTTCAGTATGTATATAAGGTATATGAGAAACAAAAATGAATTTCTTGTTGAGATTTGGGTTCCATCCCAAGATATCTCTTAGATTTATGCAAATCCCAGAATCTGAAAAAATCCAAAACCTGCAACATTTCTGGCATTTCTGATAAGGGGTATTCAACCTATAGTGCACATGCCACAAAATTCATCTTTTTAAAGCAAACAGTTCATTCACTGTTAGTATGCTCATAGATTGTTGCAGCCATCACCACTTTATATTTTTGCTACATTTTCATTATCCCCCAAAGAAACACCATACCCATCAACTGTCACTTCCCTGTTTCTCCTTCTCCTCCCCCAGCTCCCAGGTAGCCACTATTCTATGAATTTGACTATTTTAGGTGTCTCATTTAAGTGGAATTGTACAATATTTGTCCTTTGTGTCTGGATTCTTTTATTTAGCAGAATGTTTTTAAGGTTCATTCATATCATAAAATGTATCAGAACATCATTTTTTTTTGCTGAAAATATTCCATTTGCTGAGTAATATACCAAATTTGTTTCTTCATTCATCAGTTAATAGAAATTTGAGTTGCTTCTACTCTTTGGCTCTTATCAACAGTGCTGCTATAAACATTGTATATAGGTGTTCATGTGAATATATGTTTTTTTTCTCTTGAGCATATACTTAGGAGAGAAATTGCTGGTCATATGGTAACTCTATATTTAACTTTTAAGGAAATGCCAGACTGTTTTCTAAAACAGCCATACCATTTTACGTTCCTATCTAGAATTTTTTACTTTGTTTTTAATTTTATTTTTATTTTTTCGGGACAGGATATCACTGTATAGCCCACACTAGCTTTGAACTGCTTATGTAGCCCACGCTGGCCTCAAACTCACAATTCTTCTGCCTCAGCCTGCCAAGTGAATTTTCTATAATGTAGAAAATTTCAAAGAGCAAGATTATTGTGGTCTAAAAAGGGATGCATGGATCTCTATTAGAAAAGTCATATAAAATAATAAAATACTAAAGAGCCATCAGTACCAAAAGTCTGAACAAAGTATAAGAGATCCATAATTGCAAAAGGAAATAACTATGAAACTAAAAGAAAAATTTAAGTTGTGTATATTGAAAGTGAAGCTATCAGGTGTCCATAAAAATGACTAAAATTAGCCTCAGCAAAATTTAGTTTTATCTATCACCACTTAAAAATTTTTAAATCTTTCAAAATGACAGCATTTGAAATTCTATTGAATCACATTTCACTAATTCATAATGTTGAGGTTTTTTTTTTTTGTGGAACTGGGGTTTAAACTCAAGGAACTCTATCATCTGAGCCATACCTCCAGTCCATTTTTGGTCTGGTTATTTTGGAGATGGGGTCTCTTGCAAACTATTTGCCCAGGCTGGCCTCGAACCTTGATTCTCCTGATCTCAGCCTCTCAAGTAGCTAGGATTATAGGTGTGAGCCACTGGTGCCCTGCTTGCTTTCCTTTCCTTTATCCTTTCTCCTTTCCTTTCCCTTCCTCTCACCCTTTCCCTCTCCCCCTCCCCCTTTCTTCCTCCCCCTCCATCCCCTTCCTTCCCCTCCTCTCTTCTCCTCCCCTCCCCTCCCCTCCTAAATATAATCAATGTATATCATATATGCTATAAAATAAATATTTTTCACATTTAAGTCTGGTGTCTGTCAGTACAGTAAGCAAAGTCCTCATAAACTTTCAGACTAGAATCAAAAATGAAACTTTTCCTCTTTACTTGGGTCTATATTTTTACAGCTGACCAGCAGCACCACTATCACCTGGTGGCTTGTTAGAAATACGGACTCTGGCTCGTTGCAGACCAGTTGAATCAAAATGTACATTTTAATGAGCTTTCCAAATAATTCATATGTACATTAAAATTTGAGAACACTGGTCTAAATAATTTGCTGCATTGACCTCTGTGAATAAGATCTATGAATTAAGTCTGTATTTGCTTTGTTTACACAAACAAATGTAGAAGCTTGATTTAATGCAAGAATAATATATTAAATAATACAATTTAAAATAGCCAGCATTTTATAAGGCCTTGCACAGCAAATGTGAACAGAACAAAAGGAACTTTCCAGTAATCTTAGGTGGCCTCAAAGATGGACTTGATCAATAGGAGGATTTTTTTTGTGGTGGTGGGATTGAACCCAGAGCCTCACACATGGGAGGCAAAGTGCTCTACCACTGAGCTACACTCCCAGTCTAATAAGAGAAATTTTGATCAGACTGGAAAGTGGAATTAAAGAGTCCTTATTCACTGTCTGACACCATGTATAGTATCTCCCTAGTACTCAGGAGCCTTGAATGTAGCCTGGTCAGTAACTTTTCTTTAAAGATTGCAAGGAATGATTAATTAGCATAACAAAAGTACATCTCCAGGCATGAGGTGGGCAGTTGGATAAGGGCTGACTGCGTCAAGGCTGTCGGGACTTGGGGTTTTGTTATCCAATGGGGTGGGGTTACTAGGTGTCACAAAACAGCCTCTCCCCTAGTGTTCCCTCCCCAAATGGTTTGACAGCTGCACAGAGGCTGCCCAGGTGTGGGAAGTCATATATCTCTGCTTTTCAGAAGTGAGGGTAGGTACCTTGGCATTTGATCCTCTTTGCCCTTCCCGGTTTAATGCCACCAGTGGAAGGTGCATCTGATGGGGGATGTGTATTCCATAAGGAAGAGATGGGGCCATTATCTTAATTGTTGGCCAAGGGTGTGGGCCATCTGGGGTTTTATGGGTGTGGACCATCTGGGGTTTCAGGGAGTAGAGTCTGGTAGCTGGAGCATTTCCTCATTCTTGCTCATGCCTACTTATATGCCTACCATAACATTCCCTCTTCAAGAGCTCAGGACCCTGGGTTCTTTCAGGGGTATGGACAGTGAGATCAATCTGGCTGCTTCCTGCTGACGGAGGGGTGGGCAATGTGGGTATGCAGGGTCCAGAGTCTTGCTCTCTGTCAGGACCCAGGAAAGATGATTAGGCTCAGGTAGAGATGGTGCTGAGAATATGACATTCCCATTGTTGGACCAGCAGGACTACAGTTGTCCCAAAATAATGCCCATCATATCCAAGGGTGAAAAGGTGCTAGTCTTGCCTGAGGACAAGGATGTCTATAGCCCCTTTAGCAGATCTGAGTCACAGCACCAAAATATTACCAGTGGATGGGGTGTTCCAGATGTTCCTAGGTTCTTTGGAGACAGTGTTTGAGATTAGGACACTGCCCCAGATGTAACAAAAGCACAAAGAATAGGAAGTCAGCAAGGAATGATTAATGTTTACAGTGAAAATTCACCTGTTTAGTAACATTGAACAATGCCTTTTACCTCATCCAATGATTATCTAGGGCCCTGTGAATCAATTATTCAGCAAATAATTCTCAATAACCTGTTACATGCCCTACATCAGTTGGGGTCCTAACAAACACACTCGTGACCATGATGGATAGGTAAAAATCCTTGGCATAATAGATATCACCATAAAAGTGTTGGTAGAACTGTGGCAACCATGACCCATATTATTGGAATAAAAGGTTGATGTCATTTTACTGGTGGTACTGAACTTCGAACTGAGAGCCTCTACCGCTTGAGCCACTCTGCCAGCCCAAAGGGTTGATATCAAATGACTATGTTCTGTGGTTCTGCTAACGAATCAAGTGCAGTTAAAGATGCTTCAACCAGAATTGTGGATACTCATTTTAATTTTCTGTTGTTGGTGTCATTGTTGATCCAGGCCTTAAAATCTGCAACTGTGACCTGTTCTCAGGTGGAGAGATCAGCATGTCTCCTTAATAAAATTCTAATTCTCCATGGATCATGAATGTTAAAATAGGTTGCCTTTTATCTTGACCTAATTTTCTTATCATGAAAAGACATATATGAAGTTAAGTCTTTATTAACCTTTTATCGTGGTGCTGGGGATTGAACCCAGAACCTTACATGTGCTTAAGCAAGCACTCTTATCATTGAGCTACGTCAGCCCCTTCAATAACCAACTAAAGCAAATAAAATATTCAATTAGCTTCCTTCCTTCCCCTTTTCATGGCTTTTTATTAACCAGTTTCCTTTCTCCCTTCCTCCCTCCCTCCCTCCCTCCTCCTCTTCTCTTCTCTTTTCTTCATACTGTAACCCCCTGTTACTTAGTCTTTCTCTATCACCATGCTTCTCTAATATTCAACAGCTTAACAGTACATTATATTATATTCATATGTAGATGGGCTGTTTCAGTATTTTTCACTCTCTAACATTTTCTTTCTCTCTTCTGCCTCCCGCAGTCCCCTCAGATTCACTCATACAATTTTGTTCTCTGTCTCATTATATATATATATGTATGATTATATATGTTTGTATATATACATTTAACTTACAGGTCTGGCTTCCACATATGATCTTTTGAGCTTGGCTTACTTCACTTAACATGATGTTCTCCAGTTCCATCCACTTACCTGCAAGCAACATAATTTCATTCTTTAAGGCTGAATGAAACTCTATTGTGTATATATATCATACTTTTTAAAATCTATTCATCAGTTGTGGGGCATCTGGGCTGTTTCCAAAGCTTGGCTATTGTAAATAGGCATATATAATTTTTGTGAACTATTTGAGAGGTCATGCTAAGGTGATTTTAATTTAATATTATACTTTCACAATATTAATGCCACATGCATTTCAGGTAACTTTTGGTACCCAAAGCAACTAAATTGCTCTCGAACAAAATGTACAGTGATTGACAGCACAAATTGTTTTTTATTGTCCAAGTTCATAATCAAGTTTTGATAGTAATTATGAGAAAAATGAAGGAAACTTCTGGCAAGATTAAAATAATGGTGTTATTCAAAACAAAAACTGTTACCTTTTGTTGATTAAGCAAGAGTGAACAGTGTGGAGTTTGCTCTTGAATTAATTTCGCCTTCCTGGTTCTGAATAATGCTCTCACAATCTAAATTAATGACTTTCCAAAGTCATTCATTTAAGACCTCAGGCTGACTAATTTAGGAAATTGGAGAATCTAGCTCTTATCTAAGTGTCCTTTGTGCAGGGTATAGTGGTGCATGCCTGTAATCCTAGCACTCAGGAGGCTGAGGCAGAGGGATCACCAGTTCAAGGCCAGCCTGGCCACATAGGGAAACCCTGTCTGAAAAGACAGAAAGTATCCTTTGCTGGACCCAGACTCCCTCATTGCCATGGGCTGGGAGCATGGTGAAAATGTAGTGTTAGGCCCCATCCTGCATGTACTAGATCAGAATCTGCATTTGTATGTGCATAGCATTGAAGAGACACTATTGTGCTGATTTGAGAATTCAGGGTCATTATTCTTTAGGAAAATGACCTGGCTTTTGTTAAGGATTCTTCTAAGGATTCTGCTCTTCAGCATCCTGAAAACTCATTCTGCTGTGCAGGAGTTCCTTACTAGGCTGGCCAAATAGATCTGCACCTGGTTTTTGTCAAAGAGGGAGAAAGCACAAGTTAGATAGCTTAAATGGAATTCTGTGTCACCTATTTTCCTTTTTATCTCTGCAGGAGAAGAGAAAATCTTTGGCATTTTTGCAGGTGCCGGGATGTGTTAGGATACTGTTTCCCTTTGGGGGAAGTGACTAATGCTGAATGGATAAACTAAAAAAAAAAAAAAAGATTGCAGCAAGCTTCTGGGATGGCAGAGCCTCCATAGTTTATGAATATTCTATGTAGAGACTCTCTGAATGCTGCTTTGTAGAAAATAAAGATTACTTCTGACCTACTTCTTGCCTCTCCTTTATCTGCAAAGACATTTAAAAGCATTTTTTTGAGACAGGGTCTCACTGTGTAGCCCAGCCTGGTCTGAAACTGACCATTCTCCTGCCTCAGCCTCCTGAGTTATGGGATTATAGGTGTGTGTCACAACGCCCAGCTTCTCAAGACTTTGTTATGCATGTTATCATATATGTATATACCCCCCAATTTAAATGCCATCATACTGTAATGCTGTTTTGCAAATTACTTTTAGTTCCACCTAATATAGTAGCTCTCTCTCCCTTATCCATGGTTTCACTTTCCACACTTTCTGTTATCTGCCAACCAGGCTGAAAATACTGTATTTTGAGAGAGAGAGAGAAAAAGAGGGAAAAGAGGGTAAAGGACCACATAGCTTTTAGTATAGTATATTGTTATAATTGTTCTATTTTATTATTCTCTTACTGCACCTAATTTATAAATTAAACTTCCTTATAGATATGTACAGGAAAAAAACATGCTATTATATAAGGTTTGGTGCTATCCACAGTTTCAGGTATCCTCTGGAGGTCCTGAAACATATCCCCTATGGATAAAGGAGGACTGCCTTAATGTCAGTATGCAAATTGTCAACATGATGATAAAAGTTAAATTTAAGAATTAGAACTATCCATTAACCAACTTCTATCTACCTGGTGTTGGGGGTGAAAGATAATGGCTTAAAAACTTGATTTAACTAAAATTTTATTTATTTAGTTACCTCAGATTTTCTTGGCAGTTGGGGTGGGCAGTATTGAAATTGGATGTCACTGCCAGGAAAATGTAAAGATAACATATTTGAGTACTTGTAGAAACTTGCTGGTTTTAGAGAAATAGTTTGGCAGTGCCTGAGAGTGTGGATTGTAATGCATGACAAGGTGATAGCTGGAAAATAATTAGTACTATGAATAAAAAGAATCTTTTCCTTTCCTCCAGACCTGAATGAGCCATTGGTAGTGATAGCTCAGCCCTCATCTGAAAGGCCCCTTTTGCCCTCAACTAATGGATCAGATAAAGTGATGACACCAGTTTATAACAAGGAGGAAGCAAAGACTTCATCTAAGTGTTACATACAGGTCACTGGCATGACTTGTGCTTCTTGTGTAGCAAACATTGAACGGAATTTAAGACGAGAAGAAGGTAAGACACTCTTAAAGCTTATTATATTGTGAACTTGTTTGCAGACTCTGCCCTTTTTGTTCTCTTATGTGTTTTGGAACTTTGTTTATGATTCTTGCCAAGACCTCATAAAGACCCATCAGTGATGTACAGAGCAATCCTGGTTTTCTTATAACCAGTTTTTGTTAGTGCTATCTCATTTACCTCCTGATCACATTTTAATGTCAATGAAATTTATGGAAAATTTACAACAGAAGGAAATATACAGCAGTATTAATGTTTATGGGACCGCGTTGCAATGGATTTTTTTTTTTTTTTGCAGTACTGGGGATTGAACCCAGGGTCCTGAGCCATGCTAGGCAAGCATGCTACCACTTGAGCCACACCCCTAGCCCTGGTCACAGTGGATTTTAAGAAACAGTTTTCTCAATAGGCATGGTAGTGCATGCTGGTAATACCAGCACTCAGAAGGCTGAGGCAGGAGGATCTCAATTTTGAGGCCAGCCTGGGCTACGTAGTGAAATTCTGTCTCAAAAAAACACAAAAACCAAACCAAACAACTTCCCCAAAACCACAAAAGTAAAATCCCCACAAATTTTCTGTTAAAGCTAAGCTTAAAACTGACAACTAGAATCCATAAGCATTTCAGTATTACCATACCTGGACCCAGCACCAAAACAAAAACGAGTTTGTTTAGAACTGTATTTTTCTCTTCCAAAAGTCTGATCTCTGATCTTTGCTTCTGGTAAAAATGTCCAAAAGTTTTTTAGTATTGGGTTTAAATTTTAATTTTAGGTTACAAAATCTTAGAAAATCTACAACACATTTTTTATTTGGTTATACTCAGATGTTTTAGGTTATACATTTGTACCCATACTTATAGACTTCACAGTATAACTTAATAGATTTGCTAATAATACAGATAATTGATTATGTTTAATGAGACCAAAGTCTTATATTTGGTACTTAGACTGCCCTAGGTGTCTTAGTGCTGCATGTTATTATTCATAAGGGTTGAATAAGGAAGTCAGGATTAACATAAGCTTAACCTGGCTATTGGGGAAATAACTCCAAGTGTATATAATAATTACATAACCTTATATATTAAGGCCATATCATTACTTTACCAAAATATATGGTATACAGAGCCATCTTCACCTCAATATTACCTTGTCTGCAGTCTGTTATTTCTGCATTATTCATTTCAGCTCCCATTACTGCTGATTGGAATGTATTCAGCGTTCAAGCTTATATTACCCTTTGTTTGATTAATTAAAAAAGAATAAGAGGGCAATTGCCAAGCAAATAAAAGCAAAAGAAAGATTGCAAGGTTCCTGTTCAAGAACTATTTTCAAGCAATTCAGAAATTTTCCTTTCATGAGACAAGCAATGTCTGTGTCAGTGACAATTGTTTTGCAGTGCTGAGGATTGAACTCAAGGCCACGCACATGCTAAGTACGTACTACCCCTGAGCTATCACATGCTAAATACATACTACTATTGAACTATACCCCTAACGCCAAATCTTTTTTTAAAATCTGTTATAAACAGATTCTCTTAATTACTCCATACCTTTTACTCTACCGCCTCTTAACCCAATTAAAATAATGTTAGCTTAGCAGGCTCACTGTATTCACTTTATTTTTAAACTAAGTGGCAGTGGTTTTTCCACAATTAAGTTTTCATTATGAGTAGCCAGGTGTTGTGGTCCACTTTTGTAATCCCAGCTCGGGGGCAGAGATAGAAAGGATCATGGTTCAAGCCAGCCCAGGCAAAAACATTAGAGAGATCCCTACTCAACTGAATGTGGTGGCTTGAGCCTTATGGTCCAAGCTATGTGGGAAGCATAGGTAGGAGGATTTTGGTGCCAGGCCAGCCTGGACAAAAAGTGAGATCTGATCTAAAAAATATCTGAAGCAAAAAGGGCTGGAGGCATAATTCAAGTGGTATAGTGCTTGCCTAGCAAGTGCAAGGCTCTGAATTCAAATCTCAGTACTGCCAAAAAATAGTCTGCATTATGTTTTTAAAAATGCATAGAGACCCTGAAAGTGTAGTTCAGTGGTAGAGCATGTGCTTAGCATGTGTAAAGTCCTGGGTTCAATTTCCAGCACCCCCCAAAAAGAAAGGAACAGAAAAAGTTCTAATTATTGTTTGAAGAATTAAAAACATTATAATTTACATAAGTGATTGAAATATTTTTGAAATTTGAAAAATATATTTCCCTTCTATTTTTTTTCCTGGCTGTACATTATATTCAATTAAAGCAAAAAGAGTTTTCCCCACTTTTTCTGTACCCTTCTCTTACTACTGACACTTTCCCCTGAACTGATTTCTGAATTATTTGCTACATACAAAGCTCAAAAGATGTAGATACTTGATATAGAAAACTTAGATTATATAAGGTATTTTTAAAAATAAAATGTGTTCATCAGTTGACATTTGATCTTTCTTTTCTTTGTTATCTAACTCCAGAGCTGACCTATGGACTGTCCATCCCCATTCCCTGTCAGGTAGCTGCCAAGTGTCAGAGATTCCTAGAAAGGGTAGCTATTTCTGCTATGTGGAATTAATTATCTTTCTGGCAGTGACAGCAGTAGATGGCTTAGAGATGTGGGAAAGCTGTTAACGTTGCACTAGCAAACAGCATGACTGCTATAAAATGAACGCTTTTGCTCTGTTAACAAGTTGTTTGGCACTTTTTTCCAGAAGTAAAAGCTTTTTAGATGAGTGTGTGTTGAGACAGTAAAACTTGAGAACTTTAAGAAATGACTTATTATTTGATAATATTATAATGTGTACGTTGGTATATGCTTGGATTCTTTGCTACAATTGCAATGATTTCCTAAATGTATGAGTTCCTTTCTCTAGGAATTTGTCTTATTAGTATCTTTTTTTTTTTTTTTTTCATTTTTCTTTTATTATTCATATGTGCATACAAGGCTTGGTTCATTTCTCCCCCCTGCCCCCACCCCCTCCCTTACCACCCAATCCACCCCCTCCCGCTCCCCCCCTCAATACCCAGCAGAAACTATTTTGCCCTTATCTCTAATTTTGTTGTAGAGAGAGTATAAGCAATAATAGGAAAGGAACAAGGGGTTTTTGCTGGTTGAGATAAGGATAGCTATACAGGGCATTGACTCACATTGATTTCCTGTGTGTGGGTGTTACCTTCTAGGTTAATTCTTTTTGATCTAACCTTGTCTCTAGTTCCTGGTCCCCTTTTCCTATTGGCCTCAGTTGCTTTAAGGTATCTGTTTTAGTTTCTCTGCGTTAAGGGCAACAAATGCTAGCTAGTTTTTTAGGTGTCTGTCTTATTAGTATCTAAAAATGCTTTATATCTAGAAGATATGGTCTTAAGCAATTGTAATTAAGTCTTATTTTGATCCCAGTTTAAACAACAACAACAAAAATAATAACTGTTAAACTAGCCAGGCACTAGTAGCTCACAACTGTAATCCCAGCTACTTGGGAGTCTGAGATTGAGAGGATCACAGTTCGAGGCTAGCTGGTGCATATAGTTCATAAGACCCCATCTCCAAAATAACCAGAGCAAATTGGACTAGAGGTGTGGCTTTGCAAGCACAAAGCCCGGAGTTCAAACCCAGTCCCACCAAAAACAACAACAACAACAACAACAAATCAACAAAAAACCAAAACCCTGTTAAACCAGTTACAAGAAAATTGTAGAAATGTGAATACAGCCTGGACATTTGATGGTATCGACAAACTATTTTGAGTGTGAAAATGATATTATGTGGGTTTTTTTTTTAAATAGTGCTGGGGATTGAACCTAGGAACTTATACATGCTAAGCAATCACTCTATACCCCACCACTAAGTTACATCCCCAGTCCTATTGTGGTTATTTTTTAAGAGTTTATCTCTTAGAGAGATACGTATTTAAATATTTACACATTAAATGATGTGATGTTTGGGATTTCCTTTAACATCTGGGTGGAGGGCAGGGAGTAAAATGGGTAGGAATGTTGGTCACAGTGACATCTTGTAGTTCCTGCTACTTGGGAGGCTGAGGCAGGAGGATCACTTGTACCTAGGAGTTCAAGGCCAGCCTGGGCAACAGCGAGATCCTTTCCTTAAAAAAAAAAAAGATATTCATATTCAAGTGTTATTGATAATTGTTGAAGCTAGGCGATGGGTATATCAAATTTGTTATGCTGTTCTCTCTTTTACACACACACAGACACACATATAATTGAACTTTTCTGTGATAAGTTTAAGAAGAAAGTCTACCTTTTCAAATAGTTTTATTTTGTTTGGGTTTAAGACTTGCATAAAAGTTAAATAATATGTTTCTGCAGATTCACGTTAATCCTTTCACAGTTAAGTGAAAAATACTAAAAAGTAATTATAACAGTACTCTTTTTTATGAAGGCTGTTACCTATATTGTTTTTCTTATCAATGCTTCTAGGAATATATTCTGTACTTGTGGCCCTGATGGCTGGCAAGGCAGAAGTCAGGTATAATCCTACTGCTCTACAACCTCCACTCATAGCAGAGTTCATCCGAGAGCTTGGATTTGGAGCCACTGTGATTGAAAATGCTGATGAAGGGGATGGTGTTTTGGAACTTGTTGTAAGTAAGAATTTTTGTGTGGTTAATAAGATTTTAGGAAAACTTGGAGAATGTTCATAGAAGAGTTCTGAAGGTAAATAAAGGCTGGGGAAAATAAATATATCATGAAAATGACAGAAACTGTAAAACTGCTCAATGGCAGCCTTCAAGCATGGAATGTAATAGTCATATCTCTATTAAGAACCAAAAAATGGCAGAGTGACTCAAGTGGTAGAGTACCTGCTTAGCAAGTGTGAGGCCATGAGTTCAAACCACAGTACCACCAAAAAAAAAAAGAAAGAGAAAAGAACCAAAAAGTAAGAATTAGGTTTCAATGAGTAAGTGAAAATCACCTTTTGTAATGTGTATGCTTCCTATCTAGTAGCATCTAAAGGAATAAATTCCAGATACACTAAAGACTTAAATTTTATAAATGAAGTTATAAAAACAGGTATATGGGAATACTGGTTTAAAATGGTCATTTTATCCAACCCAGCAAATCAACTGCTAGGGTTCTGTCCTGTAAGAAATGAAAGTGTGTGTGTGTGTGTGTGTGTGTGTGTGTCTGTGTGTGTGTGTACTGGGGTTTGAATTCAGAGCCTCATGCTTACTAGGCAGGTGCTCTGCCATTGAGCCAATCTACCAGCCCTTTTTTTGTGTTGGGTTTTTCCAGATAGGGTCTCCAGAACTATTTTCCTGGCTGGTTTCGAACCGTAATTCTCCTGATCTCTGCCTCCTGAGTAGCTAGGATTACAGACATGAGCCTGGCGCCTGGCAATTCTATTTATTGTACAATTTTAAGACCAGAAACTCAGAACCAACCTAAATGTCCTTTAATAGGAAATGTTTAGATAAATTGTTTTTATGGACTACAACATAACTGTTTGAAAGAATAAAATAGATCAATAATAATGGACAAGTAAAGAGTTCTAGGGCATGTTATTTAAACAAAACAAGTTGCAGTATAATAACTTGTAGCATAATGCCATTAATTAGAAATGCAAAAAGTGGGCTGGAGATGAACTCAACCTGTAGAGCACCTGCCTTCCAAGTGCAAAGCCCTGAGTTCAAACTCTAGTAACACCACAAAAAATAAAGATGCAAAAAGTGTATGTGTGTGTGTGTATGTGTATATGTGTGTGTGTGTATATATGTGTTGTGTATATATATGTATATATAAACACCTGTAAAGGACCAACTAGTTTATACTCATAATGATTTCTTGAGAAGAATGGGATCAGGTAAAGAGCAAAGAGAAATTTACATCTTTTCAATATGGTTTTAAAATTTTAAAAGTAGACTGTATTCAAGTTTTATTAATATAATTTGAAAATTTTAAAAAACTTTAACCTTGTATTGGGCATTGTGGTGAACAGCTATAATCCCAGCACATGGGAGGCTAAAGCAGAAGAATCTGAAGTTCAAGGCCAGCCTGAGCTGCACAACAAAACCTTGTCTCAAAAAAAAAAAAAGCCTTGTCCCAAAATAAGCTCCAGATTAAATAAATATTTGAACATAAATAATGAAACCATTACCAAGAAATAGTTCCTGGGGAAAGGAAGTTGTGTACTCACTGAGCTGTAGTCAGAGCAAATAGACATTTTTGCAAGTGGGACATTTCAGGGAACTTTCAGACAGATCACATAATGACAGTTCTTTGGAAATGGGACTTTGAAGGAACTTTTTTCTGCCCTCTCCAGTGGCTATCCTGATGCTGTTTTTCACCATGATTGTGGGCTGTTGGTTTGCTGGCTACTGTAGAACTACAGGGAGGGGATGAGAATAGGCAACAAAACATGTTTTTAATCAAGATTCATCTGTGTTTTTTAAAAAGTAAGTGCTTCCTGGATTGATACAAGTTTGATTTCCAGATTTCTGAAAAAAAAAAAAAGATTCTGACAATTTTTTGCTAGTTTTCTCATTCCTTTTATTGAGGAGAGAATTTTCAGAGGTCTTTACTGCACCATTTTTACTGATACACCCTCAGTAGATATTCTTAAATAAATTCTTAATTTGTCTGAATGCTCTTTAATCAATTTCCAGAGTATTTCAATGATTGTTTTCTGATACTTTTATTGCTTTTTTTTTTTGGACAGTGCTGGGGATGGAAATCCACCGCCGCAAGCACTAAGCAAGCACTCTACCACTGTTACCCAGCCGTGTCATTGTTTTTTGATTAATTGACTTGTCCAACTTCTTCCAGTCATTCTGGAAGTCTAGCATGCCAATTTTAGAATGTAATGCTCAACTAAACTATAACCTCACTCAAATATAGGGAAAATACATTTTCATACGTACAAACTTGGAACAAACATCTAGAGGGAAACAAGGCATTGGATACAAGAAACAGTGGTGAATGTTGAATCCTCATATCACTGAGTAGTAGTGACAGAAAGAGGAAGCCTTTTAATGAGATGCTTTTCTTGTTGCAGCAGCTGGGACTATATCTTTGTTCAATGTGATATGAAATTGGAACTGTAATGATCATATCTAAAGCATACTGATAACACAGATAAGATCTTACAAAGAAGTCCCATGTTATGATAGTCCTTTTAGTTAAAAGTACTAATACACATTTAATGGAGGAAAACGTATATTTCTGAATAACAAAGGTTTTGTCTTTAACAGGTGAGAGGAATGACATGTGCCTCCTGTGTACATAAAATAGAGTCTACTCTCACAAAACACAGAGGGATCTTCTACTGCTCTGTGGCTCTGGCAACTAACAAAGCACATATTAAATATGATCCAGAAATTATTGGTCCTAGAGATATTATCCATACAATTGAAGTAAGTGCTAAGACTTTGCATTTCTGTATTCTTAATTATCAATTGACACTCCCTTGCATCACATCTGGTTTGATCAGACAGAGACAGTGAAAACAATCTGACCACTTTGAATGTTCCAGATAAAATCAGTGTCAAAATTTAATGTAATGTGTCTGTTTTTTTCCTTGCCTTCATTAGGAGAAGTTAGGCAAAGAGACATTTGTAATATTAACCATAAGCAGATTTAAGTTATCTTTATATATAATCTTTATACATTGAGTGAAATAATTTTTTCTATAAATTTCCTTAGAGCTTAGGTTTTGAAGCTTCTTTGGTTAAGAAGGATCGGTCAGCAAGTCACCTAGACCATAAACGAGAAATAAGACAGTAAGTACTTTTGGTGGGTCAGAAACAAAATGGATTTTGACTCATTAGGAATTTAACATCCTGTTAGCATTTCAGTTTTTACAATCATCCTTATCTTGGATGGAATGGTTATAACCTGTATTTCAATCTAGCACCTAGAATCTTTAACCATAAGTACTTATTTAAATGATTTTTCTTTTTAAAAATTTTCCATATAAGATGGAGACGTTCCTTCCTTGTGAGCCTGTTTTTCTGTATTCCTGTAATGGGGCTGATGATATATATGATGGTTATGGACCACCACCTTGCAACTCTTCACCATCATCGGAACATGAGCAATGAGGAAATGATCAACATCCATTCTTCTATGTTCCTGGAGCGCCAGATCCTGCCAGGACTGTCTGTTATGAATTTGCTGTCCTTTTTATTGTGTTTACCTGTACAGGCAAGTGAAATATTAGCTAAGTATATTTGTCAGAAATGAAAAATAACCAAAATGTTGCTGGCACTGGCATTTCCAGTTGCAAAACAGATACTAGTCAGAAGTCTGATAATTTCATGTTGGATACTTTACAAAAACAATCTTAAATTGAGTAGTTCAAATAAATAATATGTTCCACTTAACCCATAAAAATATTGTCTAATGACAAAGCAGAGGACAGGAGTTCAAGTTTTTGGATTTGGTATTCATATCTACTACTATATATAACTGTGTATTATTTTTCTCTGATACTTCATTACTTTAAGCATTTTTCTTTTTTTCCTTCTTTATTAGTTCATATTAAGTATATGGTATGGATTTTTTCATTGTGATATTTCCATACATACATATAATGTTCTTTGACCACATTCACCCCTCTATTACTCTTTCTTATTTCCCATTCCACTCTATCCCACCCCCACATTTTCTGTACTTTAGTCCTTGCTTGGAGATAAACTTTCACACTGGAAAGTAACATTCCTATTTAATAAGTCCGTTCCTTTATTTGGACCTTATAAAAGGCAATATTGAGACTGGGAATATAGGTCAGTGGTAGAGTACTTGCCTAGCATGCCTGAGGACCTGGGTTCCATTCTCAGCACTACAAAAAAACCAAACAAAACCCAAAAACAAACAAATAAAAAAACCCAAACAAAACAAAAGTCAATAGTGATTTTTAAGACATCTTAGTATGTTTTCCTATTCTAATGAAAAATAAACTTTCCAGTTATGTTTACCAACAAAACAACCAACAGATCCAATAGTCACTTAGGTTGACTTTCAGAAAGGGGGTAAGTTGGGTTGGAGGAGTGGCTCAAGCGGTAGAGTGCCTGGCTAGCAATCATGAGGTCCTGAGTTCAAACTCCAGTACTGCCAAAAAAGGTTGGGGGGGTAAGTTCTGTATGAACAAGATTCCTGACAAAAATGTAAATCTTTTCCTAGTTCTTGTTTTTACTGGTATCAAAAAGGAAAATCCATGAACCATCTGGCCTAGTTTTTTTTTGATGTTGATTTTCTTAATTTTTTTTTGGTGGGACTGGGCCTCTCTTTCTAAGTGGGCACTCTACCACTTGAGCCACTTCTCCATCCCTCTTTTGTATGAGACAGAGTATTGCTATACAGCTCAGACTGTCCTGGAACTCACTATGTATCCTTGGCTGACCTTGATCTCATTATCATCCTGCTTAGCCTCCTGAGTGCTAGGACTGCAGCTGTGTACCACCATGCCCAGCATCTGACTTTTGATATACTATGGAATGTCCACTGGTTTGCAGAAGACAGCCCTCAAGGGCTTGCCCAACAATTTGAAGCTCTCCCTCTGCACACACATCCACTAAAATGGACACTTACTCCAGCTTAAAATCTCCCCTTAGTATTTAAGGATTAGTTAAAATACAAAAGAAGTTAATGTTGATACTTTAAGTTATTGAGGTATATATGTGAATTTCAGCATTTAAAAAAATTCATTGATTATCCTTCCTATATTGCAGTTTTACGGAGGCTGGTACTTCTACATTCAGGCTTACAAAGCATTGAGGCATAAGACTGCGAATATGGATGTGCTGATTGTGCTGGCAACCACCATTGCATTTGCCTACTCTTTGGTTATTCTTCTGGTTGCAGTGTATGAGAGAGCTAAAGTGAACCCTATTACCTTCTTTGACACTCCTCCTATGCTGTTTGTGTTTATTGCACTAGGCCGATGGCTGGAACATATAGCAAAGGTAAAGTTAAAATCTTTTTTTTTTTTTTGATGTGACTAGGGTTTGAACTCAGAGCTTTGGCTTGCAAAATAGATACTCTACCACTTAAGCCTCATCTCCAGTCCATTTTGCTATGGTTACTTTGGAGATGGGGGTCTTACGAACTATTTGCCTGGACTGGCTTGGATCCTCAGTCCTCCAGATCTCAGCCTCCAAATAGCTAGGATTACAGGCGTGAGTCACCGCACCCAGCACTTTGTTAAAATCTTGGGTGGATAGATGACCATAACACTTTCTAAGCCAATTATTGGAAATTATTAGATTTATGTAACCATTTACTCAAAAAAGTATTTTTGTTTTTTCAATATGTAAGTTGAATATTTCTTTAGTAGATTAACCAAATTTTAGAATTACTACTGTGAAGATAACAGTATTGTGGTTATTTTGTGAGATAGACATTTGAGAAGCATTTATTTGTATCACATTAGTAATTGAAAAGAGATGTGACCACATAATTTAAAATAATGATAGAAAAACCCACCCATACCCATCTATGCTGTAATATAAATCAATTTCTAGCCCTGTTCCACACATACCTTTATATTTAACAGAGTTGTAAACATGTATCTCTCCAGTTTTTCCCTGCTTTTTCATTCGCCATAATTATTTGATATTTCTGAGGAGTATAGTCTGTCAAGTCAGTGTGCTCTAATTTACTAAATCATCCTGTTTTTTCTCAATTAGATTGTTTCCAAATTTTCATCTTTATAATCCTGTATTGACCATATTCATGTTTATACTGAACTTATACCTTAGGAGAAATTATAAAAGATGTGCTTACTGGCTTAAGGGGCATAAATGTTCTTGTGATTCGTGGTGCAAGTTGTAACAATTTTTGCCAGCAAGGATATGTCAGTGAAATAGTTTTGCTATAACCTTATCAACATTGCATCTTATCTGAATTCTAAGTTAGAGGCATTAAATGGTATTACCAGGTTGCTTTAGTTTGCATTTCTTCCATTAATAGCATGGATAAACCTGGTATTTGTATTTCTTCTTAAATTATTTGCCTGTTCACCTACCTTGCCTGTGCATCTATTGGGTTCCTGATGTTTTATTAATTAATTTACTTTTTTTTAATAATTATACCTTATTTTTGGTGTGAAAAGTTTTCTGATTTGAACAACTTAATATTTCTTAAGCTGACTTTTAGGTAAATATTAAAGATTCTATCTTTGTTTTAATTAAGACCTGTACATTTTCTTTCTTAGCATTGTCAATATGTTTGTTTTAATTTGTAGGGCAAAACATCAGAGGCTCTTGCAAAGCTAATTTCACTACAAGCTACAGAAGCAACGATTGTAACTCTCAACTCTGAAAATATCCTTCTGAGGTATTTATCTTCATCCTCCTTTTCTTTTTGTAACTTCTTATGAGAATTTTCAAATATACCCAGAAGTAGAAAGAAAGTATCATGAACCCATATAATCTGTCTCCCAAATTTAATAGTCACCCACACTTTCTCACACTTTACTTCATCTGTCCATTTTATCTTTCTTGTTGTTGTAGTAGAAGGTAAATCCCAGTCATAGTTTTACTGGTAAATATTTCTGTAGTATCTCTGTAGGAAAGGACATATTCATGCCAGGTGTGGTGGTACAAGCCTTTTAATCCCTGCCTTTGAGAGGCAGAGGCAGGAGGATCATAAGTTTAAGGACAGCCTGGGTCAAAACTCTTTGGGTTTGAACTGAGGGCCTTGCACTTGCTAGGCAGCCACTGTACCACTTGAGTTACTTCAGCAGTCCCCTTTTTGGTTTTTTTAAGACAGGCTTTTGCTGTGTAGCCCAAGTTGTCCTTGAACTCATGTTCCTCCTGTCTGAGTCTCGAGTACTGGGAATATAGATATGTCATTATACCTTTTGTCTCCAGAATGGCTTTTTTTTTTTTTTGTTGGGACTGGAGTTTGAATTTAGGGCTTTGTACTTGCAAAGCAGGCACTCTTCCTCTTGAGCCACACCTCCAGTCCATTTTGCTCTGGTTTTTTGGAGATGGGGTCTGGCAAACTATTTGTCCTGGCTGACCTTGAACTGCAGTCCTGATTTCTGCCTCCCAAGAAGCTTGGATTACAGGCATGAGCCACCAGTGCCCGACTCAAAAATGTTGTAAATTTGTTTCACATAGAATCCAAATAAGGTTTATACATCAGTGCATTTTAAAAGAATTATTTATTTATTTATTTTTGTGAGGCTAGGACTGAACTCAGGGCCTTGAGCATGCTAGGCAAATTCTCTATTACTGAGCTATATCCCCAGCCCTAATTTTACTTTTTAATTGGCACATAACTGTGCATATTTATGAGGTACAGTGTGATGTTTTGATTCATGTAGATATTGCTATCATGTATCATAGGTTTCTTTTCATCTGGAATAGCTTCTTTGTTCCTTCCTCCCCAACCATGTAATTGACTTGCTGAAGAAACATCCATCAGTTGTTCTCTAGAGTATTCCCAAATCTGAATTTGTCTCTTTGGAGAGCTGAGGATGTAGTTCAATCATAGGGTGCTTGTATAGCATGTGCAAAGCACTGGGTTTGATCCCTAGCACTACAAGAAAACAAACCCCAGAAAATATCTTATCTGAAATTGTCTATTTCCTTGTGATGTCATTTAACTTATTCTGTAACTCCTGTGTTGTAAATTAGAAGTTAGAGCTAAAGGCTGAATTTGATTTCATTCTTTTGTATATCTTAGTGTTATGAAGTTGTTTCAGGCAAATTTGCACAATAAATGAATTCTTTAGTTAAATAAAACCCATGACATTTTTTAAAGCTTTCACTTATTCAGTGATTATTTAACAAATATTTGGAGTGCCTACTTTGTGCCAAATACTTTGTTGTTCACCACCAGTGAGCAAGACCAACATAGTGTGCCTACTTCAAATGTTGGCCCTAGCATCCATTGATAGTAATTATGGAGCTATAGTCTTGACATGAACTAAAAAGTGTATATGGAGAGGTCAGTGTGGGAAGCATATTGTATGAGTCTATTTATGTTAACTCATTCAGTGAAGAACAAGTGGACGTGGAACTTGTACAACGTGGAGATATCATTAAAGTGGTTCCAGGAGGCAAATTTCCAGTGGATGGTCGTGTTATTGAAGGACACTCCATGGTGGACGAATCCCTCATCACAGGTATGTTCTTCCAGAGGATCATGACTTGAAAAAGAAGTGGATCCAAAGTGTTAGTGAAAAACAGGCACTAAAGTTTCTACATTTTATAAAAACTATGAGTGAATAAATTATGGACAGAGAGAATATGAGTTCTTTTAAAGACTATTAAATCAGTATCCT